AGTACAGCTTTCAATACTGGAATAAAAATACTGCACTCTCCAGTACAGCTCTCGATACTGGAATATACTGTACTGGCAGCACGGCTCTCGGTACTGTACTGTACTGGACGTTTTAGTACGCAGTTAAATACTGGAATAAAAATACTGTACTGTACTAAACCTGCCCGTGGAATCGTTATTATTGCTAACACAGACCATTCCAACCCACACCATCCCACATCGTGGGCTGGTGATTGAGTTATCATCCTGGCGGCGTGGCGATGTAGTACGCCGTTGGCAAGCACAAGGATTGCCTTCCCGACTGCAGGAGCGAACAAAGATGGCCTTCGCGACTGCTGCAGCAGAGTAAAGGTGAGATTGTTCTTCCTGATCGGAAATGAGCAGCTTGTTTGCGTGCACAAAGAAGGTCGGGATACGCCTGTATGTCTGTCTGCTGTGTGTTGCCTTGAGGCTACAGCAGCAGTCAAGGTGTTTAGCGATAAGGACGGCGGTGCGTAGGTTTAGTTGACGATCTCGCCAGGACGTTTGTTTGCCCTTCGTCTGTTCTTGGTTCAGTCGACTGATTTGTGCATCCGCGCACCTGACACCGAACAACTGAACATCGTCATCAGACCACATCACACGGCTTGCTGGTTCAGGCAGCATCTTTAAAATCCGAAACACATTCGACGCAGTATCTGTACCGCAAACACACATGGCCTGGAGGGGTTCAAGGCAAAGGGCGGTACGGGCATAAACTATCGACTCGACAGCAGATGTACTTTGTGTCCATGTTGTCTACATAAATGTATAACGCATCTACAGCAGCAGCAGTACTACAGCAGTAGTCGAGACCACGGCCGCGGTAAAACAGCAGTATGTAGCGGGCGCATCCTTATCTGCAAAACGTACTGCTGTAGATACCTTTTTCGGCATCGGAGTCCCAACCTTAGATGCTACATTATCACATTATCAATTAAGGACCATGCGTTAACTCTTATTAGAAATCATTACCAGCGTAGTCTAAGCAAGAAAAAACTCACTTTGCAAGAAAAGCTCGCTTACGCCGGGATGCGAACCCCCTGGAAGGTGCCGAACATACCAACTAGACCACCGGGACGACCGGCGATTGGATACTGTCGACTGCCCCACTGGCCCCCGTCCGCCACTTCTACTGGCTAGACGACCAAGTTTACTAGCAACGAGCTCTGCAGCGCGTCGCTTCCAACTTAGACCAGGATTTATTCAGTGAGAAAACAACTCACTCTTCCGGGACCCGAACCCATGACCTGGCCCTTACCAGGCTGCGTGAGTACCCCTAGACCACCGGGGCGACCAGCTCGGGGTATGCAGGGGCATCAAAGTTGTACTATAGTCTACATGTAGCACCCAGCTGTACCAAATCGTCCGCAAACGTAAACGTTTGACACTGACTGCTGTACTGTGTAGTCGCGACCACAAACCCAAGGAACAGCCATGCATTCTGTGGCATGAGCTGCTGCTGCTGCTGCTGCTGGACTAGACTAGACTAGAGCAGTAGACCCGCACTTCAGGAGGCTGTGTTTGTGACGACGAGCGCTGTTTCGAAAGATGATTCCGCTTCGCAGGCTTTTCGAACGCAGATGAGGCCTTCAACAGCACAGCCCTCAGATTAACAGATCTGAGCATGTCTGCATTGCCGTGTCGACCCTCCATGATGTCCGTCACCGACGTAGCGTTTCAGGTTGGGACCCCGATACTGCGAAGCCCCTGTAACCCTTGTCCGACACGTCGCCTGCGGCGTCTGGCTGCTGCCTGGGGCCACGATTTTTAGAGCGTCTATGATCGCGTTTGTGTTGATGTTTCTGGGCCTTTCATTTGCTGTTCAGGTTTTAAATTGCACCCTGTGCCCACGGAAGACATCCCCGTCAGCTGCACCAGTAAGGATGATATAAGGTTTTACATTCACGGCTGCCACCCCATTTTCGCGTCCCAACCGCTGTTCACTTCATTCAACAGGGCTATCACCGCGGACCCTGCTGGCCTGCTTCTGTGCATCTCCAGTACTAGCGCACTCGATGTTGCTGTAGTTCAACCTCGGGGGGAACCTGAGGATGATGGTCAAGAACCATGGCTTGCCCGCGGCGTCGGGAGGACTATCGTGGGAAACTGATCCAACGGGCCACGACGGACTGGGAATCGAGTTACCCCGTCCCCCCGGAGTAGTGGCCGGCCGCCATCGCCTAAGTAGGCACGGGCTAGAGGAGTTGGCTCTCCAAGAGCTCATGGGAGGGAGAGGCCGGGGGGGCATGTAGTTTCTACGATGATGAGGCGTTGTGTGGTCGTGTCGACGAAAGCAGTGATGTTGTTAGCGGCCGACGCTGCTGTCGCACCTGGCGGTTTCTCCAAGCCCATGCTTTCCACGGAGCGATTCACGGCAAGGATGAGCGAAAGAATGCCAGAATCGAGGGTCCACACCAGGGAGGAGAAGAAGCGCAACTTCAGAGACGACCTGGTGCTGGTGGTGGCAGGGGAACAATATGGGAGGACTATCAGCAGTACCAGCGGGAACAACCGCTCTCCGTTTCGAACCTTGACAGCACGGGGACGGGGCTGCGTTCGAGGGCTCGGTTGGAGAGCTGCAGCCTGGTTTTCTATCCTTTTGGGCGTCGCAATCTTCGGGAAGGCTGGCATTGCGAGGGGAGGGAGTAGGGGGCGGAGGCGGGGTGTGGGATGAAGGGCGGGGGGGTGTTGCCACCGCCGCCCGTGCTGCGCCAGCTGCTGGAGCGTTGATGCTGATGCTGAAGGGGGGGGGAGGCAACGGTGGTGGCAAGCAGCCGCGAAAGATGAAACAAGAGGCTTACTTACCACGTTGGGTTTTATGGTCATCGTGTAGATTCGGATGTGGCAAGAGACACGGCGCTGCTGTTTGTAGGCGAGAATTTGCTGCGTGTGAAGAACGTCATTGCTCAGAGTGTGCGAATTTGCGCTTGTTTTGTTTCTGCTCTTCTTGAACTGCGTGCGTGTGTTTGTGTCCGTTGTCCCATTTATTCTGGAATTGAGTGTTTTTTTTACGTGTTCCGGTATGCTTTATTCTGAACGCATCATCAGGGGTCATGAAGGACGAAGGCTACACGACAGCAGCTTTCGCGTGTTTTTTTTCACCTTCCTTCACTATGTGCTCCTTCACCTTTCGACGCGAAAAGAGTTCAGCCGTCGCTTTCCATCGTCGACCGTGAACTCGAACCTGTACCAGAGGGTTTTATACACCATCATCAGGGCTCTGTAGTCTACCAGCCGACATGCACGGGGACATCCGAGCGGCCGTTGCGCTTCATACCTTGTCTGTCTGTGCTTAATGTGAATATAGATGAACGCGGAAGCATTTTTCGCCAACCCCAGTTCACCGATTAAAATTCACGCCTAGATGCTTTCGCCGTAGGGACTACTGCAGGACGTAGTGCGTCTTCGGCTCGCAGCTTTTGCGTTGCATTTTAAGTCAATTCTTGTTGCCGGCGACCTACCGCGGGTTCGTAGTGCCCCATACTAGATACGTTACAACGAAGTATATCGTTCTATTTTTCTTTTTTTTGTGAACTCCAACGCAATCACGGAAAGCCACACAAGTACGGGAGTTTTTGTTTTTTTTTGTGTTTTTCTCCCATCATTGGACTCTGTCGTCTGCCCCTCTGGCCCCTATCCTCCACTTCTACTAGCTAGACGACCCAACCGGGGTCACATAGGAGGGGGGGGTTGGACCCCCTCCTGCGGAGTGTAACGCAACAACCCGTACGGAACACGAGCATCATCTCCTCGAGTAAACGTAATTCTCCTTCGTCTCTCATTTTCGACGGGATTGAGAAAACATGCCTCCTCATATTTTTTTCGCTCTTCGCGCGAAAATAGTTTCACTCCCCTGCTGGACCCCTAACCATAACATGTGAGTGGTCTAGACTCTTTTGATTAAGAACCTGCACGTATCGGCAATGGTTTTCTGTGAGAGAACGGCATGCATGGTGTATCCTTACCGACTTGGGTGTTCGTTGAAATGTTATCCCACCTGGTGCGATATCATCGACACATGATGAGCACCCTGCATAGATCGACGTGAATTTGCGTGCCTCCGCAAGGTACCGGTGCCCTCCGGGCCACACCGGGGGTGCCCGTAGGTATCAATTGGGGCACTAAAAAGGCTCGAGTAAGCGAAATGCAATACCACAGTGATTCACCCTTCTCGAGAGAGAGATTGACACGGATGTAACGGCTACTTACTGTAGTCCTTTTATAGACGGTCGACGCGAACAATATTTATCAATGCGTCAAGTTGCCTTCTTGCGGTGGTAGTCGGTTTCCTACATTTAGTATCCTTCAAAATCGTACAGTAGTATTCATCGAATGCACTCGACCAATGAAGCACACACAGCTCATCCCGCACCTCCGACCGACCGAACAATATAACTCACAGACGGTCACGTTGTTATGTTTTGTTCCAAAACATGTGCGGCCATCTTGGGGCGACTTCGATGCCTCTAGTGGTCTCGCAACTTGCTTGTAAGATGCCGCAATGCCTCACTATCAGCAGGAGGAATACCCAGCGTCGGAATCAAAGTCTTCCACGAAAAGCAAAAGTGCATTAATTGGATGATGTGGCAGGCGGCAACCCAAAGGCGACCTCTAGCGTCGTCTGCGGTGGTCACGCCTTGCACGGAAAGTAGACGCGGCAAGCTTGACTTGGTCAGGTCTATCTCTTCTGTGTTCGTTGTTGGCAAAATCGAAAGGTATACTAGCATGAGCGCATTAGGTCTGTACACTGCACCGGTAGCTGCAGACACGTGGAGTTCATTTTATTGTACATAGGTCCGTATGGAATCGTCAGCGATCGGCCGAAAAAGTTTTCGGGAACCCCCAACACATATAGCCGGTTGACCCGGGGTAGTCGATATATTGCTTTCAGTGATCGAGAGCTGGCCAGGGCGCCCCTCTCTCTCTCTCTGACTCTCGTCTTCTACCATCAAAATCTGGCCTTGGAGTAAGCCAGCAAGAACGATATCAGCAAAAGCAAGTTTCTCACTGTCGTCGTTCCGAGCGTCACCGGGTGGCGTAACACTCAGCAGCGTGTTCCACCTCTCGCATTTATCATGCTGTCTTTTTTCCCGCAAACACCTGCGGTATGCTTTCCAAAGCGGTCCAGCCCGATGCGCTACCGCCTCAAGCTTATCACCTCGCGACTTCCCCGGCGCCGTTGACTGACGCGGGGCCACATTAGAATGAATGATATGGATTGGCCGTGACTGCTCATCGTACTCTTTGTAGCTGTTCACGGAACGAAAAACACTCAGGGCCCGCGCGCTGCGTTCTTCTTCTCACTACATTCATGTTTGCCGAGGGTTTGATGTTACCGAAGAATCTCGATGTGGCTAGACCTTAGCATCACACTTGGGCTTGATTTCGCTCTTTGGATGGGGCGGCCGAGGCCAAACATAGAGCGTGGTGTGTACAGTAGATGTCCTCAGGGCAGGCGCTGCCTTGGATGATTTCGATCTGTCACATGTGCGTCGATTGTCAACCTGATACTCATGGTAAGTGGCATGAAATCTTGGAGTGAAACACTCATAACAAATTCAGACAACAACAGTTGCGGAGTGGTTCAATTGGTAACTCCGTTGAGCAGAAACCTTAAGGGCGTTCGGTTGAACCCTCTCCAGAATGAATCATCTCAACATTTGGAAGTGAAACGCGCATTGTGAGTGAGTGCACACAACAGTAGTAGTGAAAAATAGGGTGCTGAAGGACTGCCGCTACAAGCTGAAGGGATGCTTCGCAGGAGGAAATATGGAGATTTCCTCCTGTCTGTCTGACACAGGCTGGGCATCCTACGATTACCGAAAAGTTTAAGTTGAGGCTCAGAAATCGACGGAACGACAAATGTAACCCTATCTCCTCAGTTGCACAGGGGATACGGAGAGGATGATAATGAACAGATTGGTCAGGTACCGGTACCTGTGTTGGATAGCTACCGAATCAACTACCATACCTTTGTGTGGATAGCAGAGAACATGCGATCGTGTCGATCCCCTCCTCGATGCCATCGGTACATTCTCTGTAAAGTAGACGACATGGGTACATTGCCGTGATGACCACGGTGTCGTTCGTTGGTATTGGTGCGCGTTCGTGCCGCCTTGATTGCTTCTGTTGTTTTTGGTTGTTTTCTTCATTAGAAGACCCGTTCCGATCTCTCTACACAGTACCACCAGCTGTCCGTACTGATCCAACACTTGACGCGTCGACGTCCGCGGTCACAGGCTAACTAATCCCGAAAAAGGTATGCTGAAATAGAATGGATCTGAAGGTATAATTATAGAAATCGACGATAGTCTAGAGCCCCCGCTCGCCTTCTACACGCTATGTGAGGCAAGAATGAAACTGGCAATCAATATCACGGGTCCGAGAGAGAGAGCGTGGTCAAAACATTAACGAACGGTGAGGGTAACGATGGGAGATAACCGGGCCACGTGTCACTTGTAGCTCCTGCTAGCTCGCCGTAGTCCCAGCAACAATCGCGCTTACCCCCTGGTCAATGAAAGGACCGCATTCAAGGTTGAACAAACGCGAAAGTTCTGACCATCAGACTCTCTATGACGTCGGTAACATCACTCGGTTGCTGCTCTCGTAGACCAAAAATGCAGTAGATTAGTGATGATAACGAATCGATGGCCTTTCGCCTTTCGCCATCATTTCCACTTGACAAAATATGCATTCTCTTGTGTGGGAGCTACAACTGTGATTGGCGGCCGATCGTGTTTGTTTGTCCGAATAGCCGTGTTTTCATGTTTTTCATACTCAGAAGCGCTACGCGAAATGGAGGCTGTCATATTTTTCATACGCTATCTTTCGTGTAGCAAAACAGTCCATCTGGGACGCAACAGGGTATGGTAGGGAACACCAGGTGCTTTCAGCTTAGAGGCTCGTTCCCATGTGAATGTGCATGAAGCGTACATAAACGAATGGGTATTTAAGTAGGAACCGAATTCCCGAAACAAATCTCGGGAATCTTGTTACTTTTGACCCCAACTCCGGGAAAAATCCCTCTGTCACCCCCCTTGCCCCTCCGAACGCTCTCGAACACCCCGCACAGTCTCGGGGGATCCTTTTTGTGTTCCTTCTCGCCTCGCAGCCCAGGCACGTGCCACGCAATGGATTTGCGGTGGCGGAAGGGCAAGATACTCCAGGACAGATAAGCCATCAATCGCAACGAAGCCGGGCGGAGAGCGTGTGGGCCATGCTAGCCGAGGCGGCCAAGCACCCCCTGTGCTCGAGTCCACCCTGTGTAGAGGTTAGCACCCATCCGCGATTTTTTTTCCGTCGTGTTTGATGATTGCTGACCTATGACCTTCTCGTGTGTTTCAGGCCCTCAGGATGAGATGGTTTCTCGTCAACTTGATACTTCTCGGGTGTACGGAGGATGTCAAAGAAGGCGTGGAGAAACAAGCTTACCCTTGAGGACGCCGTACGTACTCGACGAGAACGTATCAAGTGCGTCGTGCGATACTCTCGGCAGTATTGCGCTGAAGCTTCCCACGTTATCTGCACGCACGCACCGCGTGTTCTGGTGGTCATCGTCCGTATGCAGGGGAACCACATTCACGAAGAATGGATGGATATTGGCGAAGAAATGTCGCGTGTTGATGGGGCTGCGGTCGTTAGGCGGCCGGAGCTTATTGACGTGGGTTCCTCGCCGACTCCCCTGCTGTCGCCAGTAAACACCTTGGACTACGTCAAGACGCTGCAGTCGTACTTCCCAATCTTCAGGGACTCTCTGTTCTCGAGGTATGCCCATTCGAAACGCGCACAAACTACTTGTGGGGTGGTAGTGTGGACACACTGCAGTACCTCCGTCGTAGTGCTACAGTAGCAACAACGAAAACATGCACCGCCGCAAAAAGCACAAAGTGTCAAAAATATTCCAAAACTGCTGTGTTGTACAACAGCCGTCTTCTAACCTCCCCTTCCTAACAGCATTGTCTTAGTGTGCCTACGTCCCATGTCCCATGATTTCGTGGCTCCTCAGCATGATGGTTGAGACACAAGAGGGCCTCAAGGAGCTCCCCCTTATGCAACGATTCCTGGATGCCATCGAGGAGGGGGACGATTCCGCGGCAAAGTGAGAGACTTCTTCGACTACCCTTTGCGTATGCAGCCATCAACCATCTACCCCGTACTCATCGTGAGGCCTCTTTTGACTCAACCAATACCGACGCTTTGCGCTGGTTGGTTGTACGAAGAGTCATAGACAACATATTCTGGACGAACTATGTATCCCGCATCGTTTTCGTCGCACCGTCGGAAATCGACACGCGGTGAACGCAAACACACCCGGTCTTAGCAGCGCCAAGCTGGTTCGGGCACGGTGACCAATTGAACTGGCGCCTGAAAAGTTCTTGCTTGCTGACCAGATCTCGCGCTGAACGACACCGATCTCCAATCTTGGTCTCTTGCAAAATATTCCCTCAAGGCAACACTTCGCCGTGCACCTCGCTTTTTTCCGAAGGACTCTTTACCATGCACCTCGTTTCGCCGACAGGTATTTGAGTGCAGCCTACTCCACCGGGCCTGCGGAGGAAAAACTCGCGAGCGACGGGTACGAGAGCGTCGCAGCGGTCGTGAGCATGGCGGATGTGTTCATCAACAGAGACGGGTATTTCTGGAACGACAAGGCAAGGCGCCCATAGATACGCGTATGCATCTGTTTTTTGTAGGATGGGCCAGATATCTCAGCGAGAGCAGGTTCCACATGAAGAGGGTTGGGCACAGGCGGGAGGATTAAGGGGCTCTTGCAGCTTTTCGTTCTACTGCACGGCGTTGCTCTGTTTTCGGCGTTGAAAGGTTCGTCACCGCAGGTTCGACTCGAACAGAGCGAGAGTAAGCTGCTTCCCATGCAGCATCAGTCCTTGAGGGTGCCACCCCCGTCCTTTATTCGCAGGTTTTCGTGGCGCCCAGCTCCTGCCTTTCGACCAAGAAGGCGTTGCTCACGAACACGAGACACCGGCGTGACACACAGAGTTTCGAAAAGGTACTGACTTCAAGAGGGTACAGAGTTATTTGCATGCGGCGCATTCCTCATTGAGACCAGATCAAACCCAAGGACTTCCTGTCCATGTTGTGGCTTGCACCTGATGGATGCAGAGGCTGCATGGATGCCATCATAGCAAGACTGTAGTGAGGTGTGCCGAATAGGTACCCGCATGCGTGTGGAAATCATTTAGACGAATGCTGAGACGGTCCGAAGGCGTCCTGGAAGTACCGGGTATTGCAAGCAAATCACCTCGAACCCAAGTAGGGGCAGGGGCCAAACATGTTGAAGGATTCTATGTTTGCGGGAGGTTTGTTGTTGCCCTCAAAAGTTTTTGCTGCCGTGTGGCTTATGCAGCTAGAACCAGGCAAAGTCGACCGGGAAAGCGTAACCTTCTTGTGAGTTGCCATATCATAATTACCCGTTTGCCCAAGTGCCGCTCCGTTCGAGTTTTCCAGGTCGTGTTGCGAGAACCCTCTTCACTCTTCGATGGAAAAGCATGTACAGAAACCCGAAGCTATCACAAACATTGAATTGTGCTTTCGAGGGTGAATTCTGAGTCTAACATCGAGCGCAAGCTGTTTCACAACAGGATTCCGCACAGGGCCCACAGCTGAGGAGCGATTCTCGAACACACACTATAGTTCAACAAAGTTTCTGCCTCGTTTTGTCACTGTTGACTAGAGGTTACAAATAGTAAATTGCGCGCTATGCCCCCCCTCGTTTTGATCCTCTTCCTTGGTCCACTAGGTGGTTGTGCTGGCACAGGAGTATGGCCAAGCATACTACCACCTCCTTGTGGAGAACTTATCGCGGATTACCGTCGTGAAGGACCTGCTGATGGAATATCCTGACATCAAGGTGTAATTGTTTCAACGTGTGCTTTGTAGGACAAGCTATTAGCTCTGTGTGGATCTATCATCGTGCGAGTACTATTTTGTTTCATGATCCGCACTCTCCCTCCTGCTTTCACCCTGCCTTCGAGTAAGTTGCGTGAAGACTAAAAAGGGGAAGCATTCAGATAGCGTGCTTCGTTAAGTCGCGTAGGGATGCCCCTCGCTAGCACTTTCCCTTTCACTTGGCGATCTCGCACATTCTTACCTGAACATGTCGTTGACCCCGGTGGTACACGAAGGTTGCGTTGCATAACACACCAACTGCAGCCCACCAGAAGTACATGCGCGAGCTCTTGGAGCTGGTCGGCATCGAAAGCGATCGCATCCTGTTTGTCAGCATGGTGGGTGATGTGCTTGGCCTTCGGCCGTTTCCGCTCAAGGCAAGGGCTCCGTTTGTACACGTTGTATTGGGCAAAGAGGACGATTGGCGGACGTGCTGCCCCCATACAAACCGTCGTACGAGAAGACGATGGTATTCGGAGTTGATATTTCCTTCTCAGTTTTCCCGACGGTGGGATGAAAATAGCTACCGTCTGTATATGTGTACATTGAACATTCAGAAGACGGTCAGGATTAAATCAGTTGCTGGAAGGTTATGGGGGCAACTGCTCCAATCTTTACGCTCTTGCTGTGGGGAAATGTTGCATGCTTGAATGGCGGCGCGGGTGACGCGATGGAGTAGTTCAAAAGCCGAGTAACGACGCTGCTTGGTGCGAACAAGCTGGTTCGTGACTCTGTGCTGCTCCGATGTGCTTGCTAGGATGCTGTGTGCTCGGGCATTTCTTTCACCGGCACCGATACCGCACGGCATGGAGAAGGTCGTCTTGCAGGGTATGCCACAGGTGTCGATTGGTACTCAAGTCTTATAGCCGTCGGTTTGACCTTGAAAAGCAGCAATCCGTCATGCATCTACTTACGGATGTGAAGCGTAACGCACGCCGCCACAGACATCGGTTGCGCGTTCTCGTTTCGCCCGTCGGCTAACGTTTTCTGTCAGATTCATGCGAATCTAGCGATCGTGCCGACTTCGACGGTGTGCGGCAAGCCCAACGCGGCAATGGTCAATCTACTGAGGCACCACTTGCTCCAGGTACGTGCTTGTGGGGAGGTGTGGTCCTGAATTACACACGCGACGGCCCTTGGGTCACGGATGGGGTGTTATGTTGGTCATGAGCAGCCCAAATCCTGCCCGTAGGACGAATGTTGGTCGCTCATTGGACTGTTTCTCGGACGCCCCGTGGGCTGCTTGCGTTCCACGTATGGGCCACCCGTAGGTGTCTGCGGCCTTTGGGTCGACCGTGAGGCGACGGGGGCCGTGCTTAGTAGATATTCACGGCGCGCGCTCGATGTCCAATATTAACGACAATCCATGTCTCGTCCATTTGATATTGAAGAAATACAACAATAAATAGAGCACATCAACCTAATCGAGCCATCAAACCGACCCATGGGTAGCCCACCCATGGCTGGCCCACCCATGGGCGGCTCTTGGGTGGTCCAATGAGCAGTCAATTCCGACTCGTGGCGACTCGTTGAGACCGTTCATAGCTATTCATGATCGCCGGTTTGAGAAGTAAAGTCGTGCGCGCCGTCACGGGTTGTAGTATGGCGGTGATTGGCTGCCCTTTGGCCATGCTTTCGGCCCCGTGGCCATGGGAGGACGGCCCCACGGGTCAAACTCGTGGGACGTCCCGTAAGACAAATTTCCTGGTGCGGTACCAAAAATGCACGCACAGTCGTGTATGCTCGATTGTTTTGGATGTACTGCAGTCACATGAAGGGGACAAAGCAACGTTGTCTCTCACCCGCAAGTGTTGGCGAAATCTGCGGCTCAGCGATGGCTCAGGAAAGGCCTTGATTCCATTTGGTCAGCTCTCCTGCTTCCATGCACAATGTCACTCAATAGGCAAGGGTCTTAGTGTCTTCTTGCTGAACGAGGATTTTCACATCAGGACCCTTACCATGTCATGCACACGGATCGACCCGCTCAGTCCATGCTGACTCGTGGCCTGTCGACACGGAACGTTTCTCCAGGGGTTGTACCCGCGCACTGGGGGCATACCCCCTGCTCCTCCTCGGCCAGTCATCGTGCTAGTCGTGCGAGTGAAGAAACGGGGCATTCAAAATAACGACGAGGTGCGTATGTCACCCCGATTGTTTCTTGTGTCATACTGCCAAGAGTGCTTGAACTGGCTGACGCATCGCACACTTGTTTGGGCGGGTGGAGAAAGAGCACGTGGAGATCGTTCGTCGTGTGCTACCCCACCTGCGATGAAGCGTGGTGTGCCGTAGCCGAGTAGTAGGCGGTGGCGTTTGTGTTCTACGGGGGGAAAGTCCGCTACATCTTACCGTGAGGCATGGTGGGTCGAAACAGAAGTTCGTCGTGAAAAGACCGCCCATTTTGGCTCGGAACGTGGGCATGTTTTGGTTTCAATATTCAATCGGTGGTGATTGAATGTGTCGATAGTAGTGTTGACGTCGTCTTTCACAAGGATGATATTGGCGGCAGAGCACTGAAGCTACATATATCCGTAATGATCTACCTCGTCCTTCCGGAAAACCTACTCACCGCAAGGTTCGAGAGGCGCTTGCCCAGAATTTCCCGGACTTTGATGTGGTGGAATTCGACGGCATAGAGCATATCCGGGCGCAGCTGGAGATGTTCGCTACGGCGTCCATGATAGTGGGCCCTCACGGCGCCGGGCTGTCGAACATGATGGTGTCGCCACTACACACCATGATCCTCGAGATTGGTCCAATCGACTGCCCAGCGTGCTTTGTAAACCTCGCAATAAAGGTGGGCGGTGGTTTCAGACTGTGGTGTACGTAGGCATCGTGCAACGCATGATTGGCTAGTTGTCTTGTGGTCCGGCGTATGTGTTGGTCTGCTTGAGGCAAAAGGCCGGGACCACGATCGTCCGGATGGAAGATCCTCCGCAGTGTGCAGACCAAAGGTATCACCCTCTCCTGGGACGGTCGAATGCACTGAAACAGGTATAGCGCAGGGCTACCTAAAAAAAAACAGTCCACAAGAGTTCCTAGCGAATCCCGCGATAGCCTGCGAGTCAGTCTTCAATATCCGTCATGTCAAAGTCTCGTCTACCTACTTCGTGATCTGCATTGAATCGCCGAATAGATCACCCCCCCCCCCCCCC